CGGCTGTCTGTCCCATGCACTGCAGGTCAGAGCAGCAGCACGCCACGGTCTGCTCCAATGTTTCAAACTGTCTCCTTCCTCGTGGCTTCACTTTTCTCTGCTTGAACAAAATCCTACAGAGCGTGGCTTTCTCCATTCTCGTGCCGGACTGGCTGCGGATGTCGACATTTTTCATCCGGTGGCTGAGAAAAAGTGGGAATATAGAAAGCTGTCGGAAAGATGTCCCTCAGGAAGAGGAGTGAAACAGGGAAAAACATAGCTGAAGGTTTATTTATTTATTTTTTTAAAAGGTGACTGAAATGACCGCTGACTTTTTGTTGCCCAACGCAGGCATTATAAGTCCTCTCATTACCGCAGATTATATGTAAAAACTTATTATAAACACTTATATTTATAATACATAATAAACATATCAGATTTGTGTATTTTATGTCTCATTAGAATAGAAGCTAAATTTATTCTCCTGCAGTATCATTACAGTAGTATAACTGTGCAATGTGACAATCACAAAAATAACTTGAAAAGCAAAAGAAGATTTCTCACAGATTGATATTTATGTGCCTCAGAAAAAAATGGTTCTGTATTTAGTAAACAAATAAGTACATTTAATATATAAATTTCAGCCTATTTAAAGGTATGCCCATGTGCTGCTGTACGGCATCTCCACTGGCGGTATGGTGGTCATGAAAGCAGCTTTGGATTACGCTGGACTTGACAAAACACTAGCAGAGTACAGCAACTTAAATCAGCACTCACTGTAGAAACTTCAGCTACTTGGATTATATGCTTCTCCACTGTTTCTACAGACTCTCTGACCAATGTGATGCATTGCTTCATGATGTGAGAACAGCATCTAAAACTGCATGTCATTCTGAGGTGAGGTGTGGTAATTTGCTTCCTTTGAGTCATTTTAAGCAGAAAAACACTCGGCGAAAAAAAAGAAAGTACTTGAAGAAGGCAGTAACATAAAAATCTGGAAATTAATTGGAAGGAATGAAAAATGTGTATTAAATGAAAGCCTAATCAATTAGTAGGGAATGCATAAAGCTTGAGAGGACAATCTATAACTGCAGAGGAGGGAGGAGAGAAAGACCCCAAACACACATCCAAGAAAACAAAGCAGCTAGAAAGAACCGACCAATAACCAAATTATATACTTCTGGAATAAACTGAAATGTTTAAAAGCTCAGAAGAGGCAATGAGAAGCTTAAAAGTTTGAAGACAGTTTGTTTGTGAAGAAAAAAAAAAGACATTAAAGTGTAAGAACTAACTTCTCTGTGGACATTTAGCATACTGTCTTCAAGACGACATTTCTGGCTTCAAAGAGAAAAAACATATGAACTTAAATGGTGTTTTAACATGTTTATTTCTCTCGGTGGTCCCTTGGAGACACAGTTTTGCAAAGAAGTTCTATCAAGAAAACTTATGACCTGGCTTAAACACAAAGCCATGTCATGTATATAAAGTAGGAATGTCTCTTATTAAACTTCAAGTGCTACTTGAATGTGGACTTTTTCCCCGAGCAAAGAAAAGAACAATTCAGGTGGTAAAACAAATAAATACTGCAGTATAACATTCTTAAATAATATTAGATGCTGAATTGGTACTACTTAGCTTTAAGTAAACGGAGAACTAAGACTTTGTGATATTTACATCATCGAATGAGGCGAACTGTGCTCAGAGATCAGTGTACGTGACCGGGGTGACCCCGTGAATCAACAGCGTAGGTCCTAAACCTCTGGTCACTGCTTCCAGCTGAGACAAGTAGTGCTGTGACTGGTTTCGAGCAGCAGGGGGCCGAGGTAAATACAGGAAGCGCACGGCAGCCTGAGAGCTGTGCTCCATCAACATGCGGTTCACTGAAGACAGGAAGTCGTCGGATAAACCTGGCGTTGGCTCTTCGCAGCGTTCCCCCTCCGGCAGAGCATAGTGCTGCACCACGGAGTCCCACGGCACAATCTTGATGGACGCCCTGATCCTCAGCTTCCTCAGCAGCTCCCGAAACGACTCTTCATTGACCACCCAGCCCTGGTCAGAGGAGCCCGTCTCCACATTCAAGAAGATTCTCATTCTTGCGTGACGCCACTTGCTTGACATGTTGAGCACGCAGGCCATCTGCAGCAGGAACAGACTGCACACATCCTGGTAGTCCTGGTTGCCCGGCTGGAGCAGGTTGAGAGGCCACACGTCTATCGTCCGCTCCGACCCGTCCACTTTGCTGTCTTTGCCTTCTCCCTGCAGCTGGAAGAAGTATCTGCCAAGGCACACGTTTTTCTTCATTTTAATGGCGTCGGAAATAATGCCGACGTACTCGTCCGGCGACAGCCACCGGGGGCTCTCGACGTGTCGGACGGGAGGGAAGTGGGCTTGGAGCGAAGGCAGGTCCACCCCAAAATTATATTCCTCCTCACTGCCTTCTCCCACAGATGAATGGCAGAAGGCAGAGTCCTGCAGGAAGAAATCGTCCGGAGTGCAGCTGTCATAGAAACCCAGAATCAGGGTGTTGGGCTTCATGCCACCTTGGAGAAAGATGCGCAAACAATCAGACTCGGCACATGCAGGCAAAACAATGGAGATAATCAGTGTAGAGAGAAGGTTGGGGAAGCGTTTACCAAGTCCTGTGATGCGCAGCAGATGCTGTGTTCCCTGTCTGACTGAAGGAGACAGAGTGAGGTCTACGAAGGCCTTCACACCTAGTTTATCAACCAGACTCAGCCAAAAGTTGTACTGGGTCTGGACTGGGTCTGATGGCAGGGAGTCTGAAATACAAAGCATTTATTACAGCATGACCCCAATTAACAGAAATCATTTCCATTAAAGGGAATTAAGTTTGCTATACGGATACATTAAAGAAAATATGTTGAGTGGCTCTAGTCCGACTTTCCTAGACAATGGTAACTTCCAGGTTCCTTTGAGATCATTGAAAATGACCACACTTTAAGTTATAGTATTTTATTCCATATTTTGCACCTTGAGGACTAATAGGTTTGTGATCTCTGTCAATTTATTTGGCGTAATGACGAATTACACGAATACAATAAAACTGATTTGCTATCAGCAGAACTGTTGCAAATTTTGTGTTTAGTTTATGATGAAATCAGAAAAAAATCTCCACTGATTAACATAACTAATAAATAATGTGTGAAAATGGAATAGTCTTAATGAATTTCACATAGATTGTTTACTTTGCATCAACAAAAGTAACCTGCAGTTTTGATAGCAGTAGGGTTGCAATGTAATTTCTAAAACACTAGAGGGCATAATTACAAAAACTGGAAATATAGCAAAAAAGAAAAAAAAAGAAAAAAAGACAAAGAAACTAGACTTAAAAAGTGCATTATTTCCATTACTGTATCTTGCTGTCTTGAAGCATTTTCCTGGAGTTTATGGAGATAAAAATGATGACCCATTTAGGCTGAAATCAGGGATGACTCAATATTCACATGACTAACCCTCAGGTGCCGCAACGCTTCAGAGAAAACCTTTGTTGATATTTGCCATGCCAACAGCAGCACTGGGGAAAAGGGCAGATCCAACAGGCGACCGCTGCCTATTGCAGTGCATGTAAACTTACGGACACCTACAGCCTCACCACGTCTTACTAAACCGGATCTGTTGCATGAGAACGAATGACAAAACTATCACATGCTGATGTACAACAGCAGTGGCATACTCCTAGGCACATGACTGGTCCACCCGCTGGGTGTGCTTAGCAAACGTATTCATAAATTTTCACATTGTTAATATTTTGTCACATTACAAACACAACAATGTATTTTGTGGAGATTTTAGGAGACAGACTGACACCGATTGGAAGGAAAAGCAAAGTTTGATAGAAAAGTTTCCAATTAAGTATTGAGTCAGGTGGCTGAACACATAAGTGGGTTGGGCTTTTTGAAAACCAGGGAACGTTGTGTTTACACTTCTCAACTGTGAACTTCTTTGTGTTGGTCTGTCAGGTAGAATTCCTGTAAAATCCATGAAAATGTGTGATATTGAAGTGACAAAATTTCAAAAGGTTCAAAGGAGATGAAACTATATAACTAAATACCTTCCCTCCAATGACAGAGACACAATTTCATTCTTACAGTACATCAATGTGGGAGTGAAGGAATTACATTTTTGGAAAAACAAGATCATTTTAGCAAGGAATCACAACATGGTGGTAATTTCAGGGGTAAGCACTGTGAGATCTATTACATTAGACATTACAGAACAAACACAGATAATTACCCAGATCTCCCAGCTGCACATGCCCCAACACATACAGTCCGCCCTTCTTCAGCTGGTTCACAAACAGGATGAGCTGGCAGGAGGAGCGCGGGTTGGACACCATCAGCAGGACTTGGGGCCTCCAGAACTTCACATGGTCTTTCCTCACATCCAGCATCAACAGATACTTACGCACCTACACCCACACACATCAGTGACAAAACAGAAACGACACGGCTATGGAGGGGAACATGCCTGAGTTCTGCACATGTTGCGTCCAGGTACCTGATGAAAAATGAGAGCCTGGCTGATGTAGCCCCAGCTGCTTGTGGGTGACCTGTAGTGGAGGAAAAGCAGCAGCAGTAGCAGCAGGACGATGCTGCCTGACGAATACACCGGGTTGATGACAAACATCATGACCAAACAGCTGAGGATCCCCAGCAGGCAGGTGTGCCACGAGAAGAGCTGAAAGGTTGGTCTGTTAAAACACAAGGGGGAAACAAGAAGAAACCCTGACAACTGGATCCAGAGAGTCTGGAATTAAGGAAGCAAAAGAATATGAGAAGAGTCTTTGATAGGAAATGTATATTTTTACCTGAAGTTTGGTGCAGATGCCCACTCCAGAGCCAGACAGGCCAGATCTACAGCGGCGTAAGCAAGTAGGTAGAAGACTGTCACGAGACTCGCCACAGCATTCAGCTGCCCTGCAAACACCACACACTGACAGAAACATGGAAACAGAAACGGATTGAGTCTGAGAACCTGCTGTTTGCAGAGCAAAATGTAGAAATGGAAAACTGCGGTTCTTTGCAGCCATTGTATCAAAAAGAAACATACTATTACTTAAGGCTTTAATCAGAGCCTGCAAAAACAAAAAAGGGAAGGAATGAAAGAGAAGAGAAGGGACGGTTTGGACAAAAGAAAAAAGAGAGAAGGAGATAGATGAGGAAAGAAGGAAAAAAAGACCAGAAGAGAATGAAAGGAAATATAAGATAAGGAAGAAGTAAAAGGGACAATGCAGAAAGGAAGAAAAAAAAATCAAAAAGGTAGGAAGGACACATTTAGACAATAAGATAATAAAGTACAGCTAT